ACGCGCTCCGCGCCCATGTGCATTGTCTTTAGCATCTCCCATGCTTCTTTGGCCGTTTTCTTCTCTGAGATCAGCATTAGCGTCTCCTCGCTGATACTTTGATAGATGGCGGCTAACGCCATCGAATCCTTCTTGCTATCCACCTCCTCATCTTGATTTTTTGGTTCGATCACATCCCAAACTCCATTCACGCCCATGAAAACCCGCATCTTCAATGCCCACGACGAATAGTTATCCTTCGTCAGCAAAGGATAATGGATGGTCATCGACCCATCCTTCATCGAGACCTTCGACGTCGCCGTGTCAGACATAGCTGAGGATGCAGAAGACATTTCTTTTGGCTGAGGAATTTAGGTGTGGCTCTGATACCAAATGAAGAAAACAGAGAAACAAGATGAAGGTAATTTTCTTTGATTAACAGGGTACTTTTTCATTACCACAATAGACTATATTTATAGCCAAAAACTTAATTACAAAGTATCTCTTGGTATCCCCTACTAATATGTAACCTCTATACGTTATAAGAAAATATTGGTATTCCTTACTAATAGGAAACCTCCTAATTAATTTACACCATTAATTACACAATGCAAACAAGATTAATTCCAACATGTGCGTGGTTTTACCTTAACAATTTCATAATAACATGCAGTTTCCAGTACGGGTTTTAAAAACAAACATTTATTTCCTCATCGGAAGGTACCCACATATTATCTACGCATAGCATTAATGTGTCCTCCCAAATCATCAGTGCAGGTATATGCAACACAACATACAATATATTCTAGAGCTAGTGGCTAGCGTCTGCTTGAAAAAAGAAGATAAAATGTAATGTTTAAACCTGCTTTTTGAAAATCCTTCAACTCAATATAGCAACTGGCTTCTAATTCTACTTTGCCAATACTTTCATAAATCTCAGCTGCTTCAATGAGTAAATGACGTCCATTCTTGTTGTCTGAATTAATAATATGCTCAGCAGAAGCACGAAGACTGGAAGCCCGATACCACTTCTCCCTAAAGGTATCTCCAGCATGTTCAAAGCACATAGTAGCCATTTCATAGTTTCCCTCATTAAATAACTGCAAAGTAACAAGCAGGCAACATTGAGAGGTGCAAACAGTTCTAGAGAAAAGGAAGACCCATAATACATTGAAAAGCGTGATATCCAACCTTAATACCACGGTCTCTCCAATCCTCACTGCTGCTTGCAACGGACATAGACTGAGCAAAAGAGCTATCCAGCCATCTAAATTTAACAAGGCCCAGCTTATTCCAGTAATCAAACATAGGTTGTGAGTAATCCTCATGATTCTCGCATATCCATAACCTTTGCCTAGTGCGAGTGATGGCAACATATAATTGCTTCAATTCAGAACGAAGAATATTGTGATGTGCAATTTCAAATCTTTGGAATGAATTTGTACTGGGATCCAGTAGACACTGTGAGTTCATATAATCATAAATCATTCTCCAATGGTTTTGTAAAGGTGAGTCTCCAAAGAAGTTGTACACTAGAACATCCTGGAGAGCGGAAAGATATGAGAATAGAGAAAAGCTCATTATATATCATAAGAAAGCACCCATTTTACCTGGAACTCCAAGCCTTTGCATTCAAGTATTGTCAAAACAAGTGCATGTTTCCGAACATTTTCAGGAACTTTTTGCTTAGATAACTCGTCACGCACAAGTATAACTTGATCTGCTCCAAAACCATTAAAATGGCTACAGCTGCTGTCTGTGGAATGACCAAAAAGAGTCATCAATGCATTTTCATCACATCTAGATCGCAGCAGAATTGGTGGTTCTCCAAATATAAGACTTGTCTCTGGCTCTAAGCGATCAAGTGAGTGAGGAAAATAGAAGCAAAGAATGTCAATTACACTTTGAGCCAATTTTAGCACACCAGCATGTGTCCGGAAGTTTTGGTTCAAATGAAACATATCAGAAATAGACTTGCTTTTTCCTTTAAAGCTTTTCATTGGATCACAACTAGGATCTTGGAGGAACACAGTGTAAAACAAAGACCTTATATCTTCAAATCGGAAATCAACACCCCGGGCAATAGTTTGAGCAGTATCGCCTGCAAACACAAACCCTTCAGAAAAATTTTTGCACACATATTTAAAAAGAGAGATCTGTCTCATGGTAAGATCCTGAACTTCATCAATATATACAAAATCCATCTGGACACCCACATTTCTACCATATACTTTGGCTCTGCGATGAAGATCACATACTAAATCAGATATGTCAAACTCTCTATTTCTAAGCTTCATTTTTTCATAAGCTAGAAAAATATCATATATAATTTCCCTAGCATCACAGTTTAATGAAGATGCACGCCGTTCAGATAGACCTACATAAGCTTCTCTGTCGAGCCAGCTATCAAAAGGCACATTAGACGTAATGTCACCTTTTAAATGAGAAATTATCTCCGTGAAAACAATTGAAGAATCAAGCTTCTTGGTCAGCTGGGTATTAAAGTGAGGCCAGTATGATGATAAAAATCTGGAATACGTGACCTCCTTCTTTCTTATAAGTGTTTGCAAAGCAAAAGATCTTGAAACTCCAGTTCTTTTAAGTGAGAGCTCCCTGCCATCATCAAACTTATCAAAAAATGAATTCTCCAAACTTCCATCAAGCATTACCAGAAACTTCTGAAAGGTAATAATAAGGGGATAGTTCTTCTGTGTGATATTCTTAAATGAGTCAGGGATGTCTGAGAAAGCATTTAGGCTATCACCAATATCATACATATCGATACCATTCTTGGATGAATACTCACCGCCACATAAGAAGCTGGATATATAAACCAAGCAAACAAAAGGTAAGAAACATCTTACAGGATGAAGAAAAAGCTTGAGCATCAAAGATATGAATGTGTGAGCCATGAAGAAAAAGCTTAAGCGTCACAGATATGTGCAGCCATTGCCACCAAGAAGATGTTATTAGTGAAAAAGTCGGACCTGTGCAAGCTTCTAATTTCGATAACCTAAAGACTATAAAGCTTCATAATTGAACTTAATATGGTACACAATCAATCAAATGAATTACTGAGATGTTAGTGAATTTTTTTTAAATGCATTGTTGTTTAAATTGCACCCATAATTTAGTGTCTCCGGTACCTTATTCCTTTCTAGGGATAATTCTTTGATGCTTTTCCACACCAACCACAGTCCTAATCCCTTGAATTTAATTGCAATTTGCATGAGATAAAACTACTTTTTGTCCCGTGTAAATTAGAGGAGGAATGGACCGCATAAGTTCTTCAAAGAGTTTCTTTAAAATCTAGATACCAAACCAAGTTCAGAACGAACAAAAATTGGCAAACTAATAAAAAAAGTACCACTAATAAAAAACTAATAAGGTGGATTTAATAACAGTTATATGTGGAGATATAGATAGGTTATCTTGAAAGAGCATGGATTTATTTGATGGGCTTGGTCAAACCTGTAACCAAAATAAGTGATTCTCTCTATATTTCTAGTGGTCCTTATTGCTTTCGTGTGCCTTTTTTTTAACATATTGCATATGTGTATTTAGAATTTGCAGTTTGTTTTCATCTCTATAGCATAAATAAATAAATTGGTTAATGTAGCTTTTATGTTCACCTTGCTTAAAACCTGTAATTCATTACAGATTATTTTCAGCGGTCCTTATGCTTCTTTTACACCTTTTAACATATTGGATATTTGTATTTAGAATTTAGAGATTGTTTTCATCTTTTGATGCGAAGTCCGGGTCGAGCTCTTTTCAAGTCGGGGAAGATGATGCAACTCTAGAGGTGACCTTAGCCTACACGGACCACTTTGATCCGATAAGAGTCAAAATCGGCAGTACTTCAATTTTGTCAGAATCGCGCAAAAAGACCAGTCTTTTCGAAACTCTAGCAAAACTGTCAAGGGCAGCGAGGATGTTTAAGGCAACACTGTTGACCTCTGTCGGATTGACGAAATTCCATCATTCAGGGCCTCAAAATTGTGGTCAAAGATTTTTCTTTCTATTTTTGGCAGGTCTTAACCATCCAATTTGGAGGAGTAAACATATTCCATTTTGGCTAAAATTTTGTGTGGAGGATCCTGCTCCCTAGTTAGAAGGTTATTTTCTAGTTTTTTATTTTATTTTTTTAATCTTTTGCAAAAAAATATTATTTTTACCTTTTCCTTTTATTTTCAAAGTCCATAGAATACTCTTTTCTGGATGTTGGCAAGTAGCTATTGAAGAATAAAAACCCTAGTTTATTTGCTATGCCTACTTATCTGTGCTGATCTCTATCTTTCTGCATCTTCTGCAATTTTGATTTGGTTGCAGTCCTAGCAGCACTGCATCATCTTTGTAGCATAAACAAATAGTTTGGGTAATGAATCTTGCATATTCACCCAGCTTAAGCCTATATGAAGCTTCAACCAAAAAATTTCATTGTTAATCAAATTTTACGACAGAACACCTAGAATGGTAGATCAAATGAAATATATTGAAATTAAAAAAAATACTCATGAAATGAAATACATTAAATAACATGTTGGTTTTTAGGTAGAAAAATTGTCAATTCCTATGTGTGCTCTGTGCACCAGCTGGACAAAATTTGATGAAAAATCTTTCGAGTAACAATAACAAACGAATGCATAAAAGGTCCTTAGCATTCTAATAGCTCTAAATTATATTCAGTTTAAAATAACAAACCTATACCACTAGAAAAGTAGATAATAGTAGATCTGCCCTAAATCTGCCCTCAAACTTTCTTGAGAAACAGTTAAATTTCTATTTAATAGTGTTATATTAGGTCTAAGATTTTAAATGTCTAATGGAACTTGGATGAATGGCAACCAAGAAATTGATTTCCCTTCTTTAGGGTTTCTTGTTACCCATACATTGCTGGTTTTATTGACAACTAAATTGGACAATGAGATAGTTCTGATACTAATTTTACTAAAGCTAAATTTACTCGTTTTCAGACACACAGTCTAAGAAATTCAAGAATTTTAGTTAATAAAACCGACCTCTTCAAACGCTCAATGTGGTTACTGACAGCTGAACAGAGCTTTGGACTAACAGTTACAAATAGTTGACGCAAGAAATTCTCATCTGACACCAGTCCTTCAGATGGCTTCCATGGACTTCCAGAATTTTCGATAAGCAAATCACTATGCCCTCCAGATGAAAAATACCACATTTGTTCCTTTTTTATTAACTTCATTGTCAAAACAGTGGTCTTTCCAGTTCCTGATCTTCCAAGAATAAATGCAGTCTGAGGATAAAGAATAATATCTCTTTCATGATCAGTTACTTCAAATGGAAGATCAACCTCTTTTCCATCTGTACTAGATAGCAAGTGCTTGACAGTACCACATCTTAACGAATAGAACTTCATAAGTAGCAGACTCTCTGATACCTTCGAATTCTCAACAAAATTCACACATTCAATTGTTCCGCAATCTGATAGCTTCTCAGTTGGTTCCTCAGTAAGTAGGATTTTGTGCTTGAGAAAGCTTGTATTAGCATCCCATGTTGTTGGAACTTCCATGTTCCTACAAGAGACTCTTTAAGGTTAAAAAGTATTTACTTTTTACAAAAATATTAAATGTTATATAGAGACAATCACATAAGCAGTTAAATGAGAAGGAATGCACGTGAAGATGTATATTTATGTTTCTATTTGAGTAAGTATGTATTGGGTGAAGGATCTAGCTACCTGTAGTCGACAGATTTTGTTCTGCACAGATTCACGTATTCATCAGAGTATGTTTTGAAGATGGAGTCTAAGCGCTTAACTAAATTTGGAATACGTGACAGCGGTAAGATATCCCAGATCTTCAACACTTGTGTATGCCTTGAATACTTCATTATATCAATAGTGCAAATAATGCAGAAATTTTCAATCTTAAATTGCATTATATGCTGTGAGGAACTTTCACTCGTAAAGAAAGCATTGGATCTTTTTGGACGCCATCCGCTAGCAAGCTTCAGCAAGAGATGAATAACACCCTTTTTCAGTTGGACAGATCTTATATCAACAAAGGACTTAATGAAGTCTCCACTGAAGAGAACCTTTCAAAAGTGCAAAAAGGAAGCAAACACCAAATCATTAGTTCGTTATCTAGAAGCTTCAGAAAAAACATATTATCATACCAATTAAAATAGAACAAGTCAATAAAATTAACTCCGCACAATAGCTATCGTGCATTCCTTAGATGTGGCTTTGAATGCAACAATAATGTTGAAGAAGAGGTCGAGAAAGCTCAATTACAAGCAGTTTTTGGAAGCACAGGAATTCAAAATAAGTATAAAGAAGGTGCATAACAGTAGGAAACATTTTCCAGCATCGATTGCAAGTTACAAGTTCCAGCATCGATTGCTAGTTACAAGTCAAGCAGATTTCTGTTGATGAAGCTAACAATTTTAAGACATTATGAATAGAGTTATATTGTAGAACAAAAATGATAGAGTGATCACTTATCTTCTCCAATCTTTCATCATTAATCATTATATTTTGTCAGCCAAAAATCTTAAAAAAGGAAAAAGTGAGTGGGCCCTGCTAAATATTTCTCACCGAAAGCAGCTGCATATTTTGAAATGAAAAGTGCATAGTAAAATAATATTATAAGATTTTAGTGCATAGTGATTTCAGCTATCTATAAATAGGCCCAAAACTCTTCAAGAAAAATTATCCAGGAAACAAATCATCATATAGAAGAGTGAGAGAGAAAAAATAGAAAGAGTTTCTCCTTGTAAAAGAGAGATTGTAACTCCTAAGTTTTTTCTCATAGTAGATTCTTCTATACTTGCCCGTGGTTTTTACCTCAAATTTATTTATGGGATTTTCCACATAAATTTGTGTGTTCTTTTTATTACTTCCACTCTACTATTCGTCGAGACCTTGCTCTATTGGCCCAAAATTTGTCCCAACAAGTGGTATCAGAGCCTGCCTTAGGGTGAGTGTATCTACTTATCGTATGCTTTGTGGCTGACACCAAAGGTGGATCCTCTATATCAGAAAATAAGTTAGATTATCATTTACCCTTTGAAGGCGATATGTACTATTCACGAGTACGACACTGTTTATAAATACGATACCATTCACAAGTATGGTACTATTCACAAATACGGTTACTGTTCATAAATATATTTACTATTTATGTGAAATAGTAAGAAGTTAGTGTTCGTGATAAAAGCAATGACGACGAAGTTCGAGATCGAGAAATTCAACGGAAGTAATTTCTCACTGTGAAAGTTGAAGATAAGGGCTATTTGAGAAAATATAATTGTCTAATGGCCATCAGTGTAAGGCCGGATGACATCACAGATGATAAAAAGTGGAACGAGATGGACGCGATTGCTATTGCAAATCTCCGTCTGGCATTAACAGATAAGGTGCTGTAAAGCATAGAGGAGAAGAAGACAGCAAAGGAGATCTGAAATACTCTAACAAAGCTATATGAGGTAAAATCGCTGCATAATAAAATCTTCTTAAAAATAAGGCTTTACACTCTTACTACAACAAATTGCACTTTTCCCGACTCTTATTCCCGACGCATGGTTAAATACGTCGCTAAAAACTATGTTTTTCCCGACGCTTTTAGTTAGCGTCGGCAAAAAATATACCAGAGATGAAATTAAGCAGGCATTATTCTCTATGGAAAATGGAAAAGCACCAGGCCCAGATGGATATACTGCTGCATTCTTCAAAGAAACCTGGAAGCTAATTAAGGAGGATCTTTTTCTTGCTGTTGAAGAATTCTTCAAAGCTGGTAAACTTCTAGGAGCTCTTAATGCTACATCTATAACCTTGGTTCCTAAGATTCTCAATCCTAAATCCCCTTCAGATTACAGGCCTATTTCTTGCTGCAACTGTTTATATAAAATCATTTCTAAAATTATTGCAACAAGAATTCAAGGAGTGATGGGGACACTTATCAGTGATTCCCAAAGTGCTTTCATAAAAGGAAGGTCTATTTCCAGTAACATCCTCTTAGCTCATGAATTGATAAAGCAATATGGCAGAAAACACTCTTCACCTAGAGCAATACTCAATATTGATCTCCGAAAAGCTTTTGATACAATTGATTGGAAGTTTATTAAAGCTATGCTTACTGGTTTGGGTTTTCCAGTGATTATGATTCATTGGATTATGGAGTGTATCTGTTCTCCTAAATACTCTCTGTCTTTGAATGGTTCTTTGCATGGTTATTTTAAAGGAGCAAGAGGTTTAGTCTTTGAATGGTTCTTTGCATGGTTATTTTAAAGGAGCAAGAGGTTTAAGACAAGGAGATCCATTATCTCCCTATCTTTTTGTGTTGGGTATAAGACAAGGAGATCCATTATCTCCCTATCTTTTTGTGTTGGGTATGGAATATCTATCTAGAAGATTAAACTCCCTAAAGGATGACAAGCTTTTCAAATACCACCCAAAATGCTCAAAGCTCAAAATTTCCCATCTTTTCTTTGCTGATGACCTGCTACTGTTTTGCAAAGCTGATATCTACAAATTTCCCATCTTTTCTTTGCTGATGACCTGCTACTGTTTTGCAAAGCTGATATCTACTCAATTGCAAAGCTGAAAGAATGCTTAACTGAATTCAGTCAAGTTTCTGGGTTGGAGACTAATCCTAATAAATGTTCCATATATATGAGTGGAATTGGAGAGGACTTGAAGATCCATATCTGCTCTCTTTTAAATTTTGCTGAAGGTATGCTACCTGTCAGATACCTAGGAGTTCCATTAATCTCAAAGAGATTATCATGCCTAGACTGTTCCCCCCTGATTGACAAAATTTCTACTCAGTTTCAAAGCTGGCAAAAAAAGAAAATGATGTCCTATGCAGGAAGATTACAGCTTATCAAATCAGTCATCCTAGGCATACAAAATTTCTGGACTAACAACTATATTCTGCCAACAAAGGTTTTGAAGAAAATTGATAGTCTCTGTGCAGATTTCCTATGGAATCATAAAATCCACTTGATGTCCTAGAAAACAATCTGTCAAAGCAAGGAACATGGTGGGCTTGGGGTTTTCTCTGCAAAAATCTGGAATACTGCAGCTGCAATCAAACTTATTTGGATGATACATCTCAAAAAAGATTTGTTATGGATTAAATGGGTTCATGGAAATTATCTCAGACAGTTCAACATTTGGCAAGTTCAAAGTAAAGTAAATGACTCTTGGATGTGGAAACAAATAATTAGAGTGAGAAATAAAGTGATTTGCAAGATGGGAGATGTTTCAAATGTCCAGAATGTCATCAGTAAGTGTTGCTCTGGAGGTAATTTTCAGATATCTGCTTTTTATCATGAGCTCATCAGCCAAAATGTTAATGCACCAATGGTCTGGTACAAAACAGTCTGGGATGATTGGTCATACCCTAAACATTCCTTCATCTCTTGGCTTGCTATTCATGCTAGACTGTTAACAAAGGATAGATTAGATCACATGAGGATCCTTGACATCAACCAACATCATAGGGGCTGTGTTTTGTGCATATTTCAGCAACAAGAAACCTGCAGGCATCTCTTCTTTGACTGTGAATACTCAGCTGAACTCTGGAATAATGTTATGATATGGCTGAAATACAAGTGGAGGTCGTGCAATTGGGATTCTATTATAGACTGGTATAGCTCTAATCTGAAAGGAAAGGGGATTATAAAGAGAATTAAAAGAATGGCTTTAACTGTTTCAATCTATGCTATATGGAAGGAAAGAAATCAGAGAATATTCCAGCAGAGAGCACAGGATCCGGCAGCAATTTTTCATAGAGTGAAGACACTGATACTATCTAGGATTTTGAATGGTGATTTTCCTCCCCATACAAAAGAGAGAATAGCACAATTGTAATTGCTTTTCTTTAATACTTTTGCTGTTTTTTGATTGCCAGGAAAATACTGGTATTTTGATGTTCTACACAATTTACACATTTGGTACTTTTGCTGTTTTTTGATTGCCAGGAAAATACTGGTATTTTGATGTTCTACACAATTTACACATTTGGAAAATGAATAAAATTTATTTTTGATGTTCTACACAATTTACACATTTGGAAAATGAATAAAATTTATTTCATTGACCAAAAAAAAAAAAATATATATTTTTCCCGACGTTTATAATTAGTGCCGCTAAAGTGTATATTATTAGCGACGTTTTAACTTAGCGTCGGTAAAAGTTATTGATTTCCGGACGTTTTTTCATTTTCGTCGGCAAAAGTATAGCTTTTTAACGACGTTTTAGAATTAACGTCGTTAATAGTATGCATTTATCGCGACGTATTAGGCTCACGTCGCTAAAAGTATCTACTTGACGTCGCTAAAAGTTAAATTTTGTACGACGCTTCTTTATTTATTCGCGTCGCCAAAACCTCCCCACCCGCCCCCGAAAATTTCCCCACTCGTACTAGGGAGGGAAAATTCCCCCCTTTTATTTTCACGAAGAGCCAAAACCCCTACCCCCGCTCTCTCTCTCATCAAAAAATCGCCCCCAAACCCGTGCTTCTTCTCTGAAGTTCGTCTCCTTCGTCGGAGATCACCGCCGCCATCGTCGGAGAGCTGAAGGCCGAGGCCCAATACAACACGCCACAGCACTCCCAGTCTCAAGCCCGGCGCGCGCGCGAGAGGGAGACGGAGAGGGAGGAGCGGCGGTCCTGGGTAAGAATTTCTCCTAGCGTTTCACCCCCAATTCTCTCTCATCCTAGGGTTTCTTCCTAGGTTTAGGGTTTTTGGTTCTTGAACCGCAAGTTATTGAGTCCAAGCGGTTTGGGAAGTAGTGGATTAGGGTTTATTCTTCCCCCCTCTTATCTGATTTCAGCATTAATTGCTAGTTTTAGGATCAAACAGTGGATTAGGGTTTATTCTTCCCCCCTCTTATCTGATTTCAGCATTAATTGCTAGTTTTAGGATCAAAATTGTCAGAGCTGACATTGTTTTCCCCCTCTTATCTGATTTCAGCATTAATTGCTAGTTTTAGGATCAAAATTGTCAGAGCTGACATTGTTTTTCCTTAGGTTTTGAATGGGGTCGGTATTCTTCTGACAATTGTATTTATTACTTAATTGTAAGGATTAATCTAGTAAAGGTTCACGTCTTCACAAACCCAATGCACAAACAATCTGTCTAATGCGGTTGTAATTTATAGTTTGTCTTTGATAGAAGCAGTTCACAGTTTGACAGTTGATAGAAGCAATCTATCTATGTACAGTTTGTCTTCACAACCCAATTTTGTTTTAGAAGATAGAAGCAATTTACAGTTTGTCTTTGATAGAAGCAGTTCACAAGTTGATAGAAGCAGTTCACAAACAATCTATCTATGTACAGTTTGTCTTCACTGATTATTGAAAGAACAAATTTAGTATAGCTCAACTGATTATTGAACTAATATAATTAAAATGCCAAGTGCTAATATTTCAGCAACTAACATTAAATAAGCAATTCAAGGGACTAACACAAAAAATATTGAAGTAAACTAAACTACTTCAATTTTTTAATCAAATGAAACTGAAGAAAAGAGAAGTCATCCCAATTTTTCAAGAATAAAATCCTTCACCTTTCAACCAGCCGACCTACTCCCAATCTGCAAAATGTGTAACTCTTTCTGTTAATTAATTGTTTCTTCCAATTTTTTGTATCTGATACGAAGTTGAATCAATTATCTATTCATTAGAATAAATTTCGAAGCTAGCTAGCCTGATGTCTATAAAAGACATGTTTCTTAAGATTATTGAGTTGTGTTGATATCCATGTCACTATATTTAAACACTATATTTAAAATTCATGATTATGTGTGGGGCTGAGGAGCTTATGAGTCTATAAAAGACATGTTTCCTAGCTTAATTATATTAGTTCAATAATCAGTTGAGCTTATTTAATGTTAGTTGCTGAAATATTGGCACATTGTTTTTTTTTGCTGTTGACAACTTTATTGGTTTACTGGATTCCTAGACTCATGGTACTAAGATGTACTTTTCTAACTAATAATGATATGGTTTGTATCTAGCTAGAAGCATGCAATTAAAACATTTAAAACTCTGCAAATGTGAATTTTGTCCAATTATGGTTCCTTAGGCAAGTATCATTAATAAAGTATCAAGGAATGATGACGATTGTATTAAGTTTCATTGAGAACCATTCAGAAAGAAGGTGGTGAAAACAAGTATTAGTACAGGTGGGGGAATGTTGAAGTCTCTTGGAATTTTCAGATTTAGTTTAATTTTATTAACAATATTTTCTACTTATTTACTTGTTACATGATCACTTGCAATCATCTTTATAATTTTCGATGACTGAGAACTGGGGACTTTATACACTACAGGAGATCAATCACCTTCTTAGGGATTAACGACAGGCGCATCCACTGTAGTAAATTTGAAACTAGTCACCAAGAGAAGTCACATTTCTTTTTCATTTTCTTTGTTATCAGGCACTAAATAAGCATGCCACGCACTCCCCAACACCCCCTCGATAGCAAAACATTACTCCCCTTAATGAAAATAACCAACAACTAAAATTCCTCTCACGTTTGATAACTTAGTATGAACCTAGTCACATAAACGGTAAACAACTGTAGAAGTACCTTTTTGCAAGATTTACAAGCTTCTTGACAAAAGATAAGAGATAAAAATATTTTCCTTCTTCACATTTCCTAATGTTGGGGATTCGAAACAATCAATCGAACCCTTGCCCTTCCGGACCTTGTGTTGAAAGTAGGAAAGTAGGAAAAAATACCACAAATAAAGATCTAACCTTGCAAAAAACAGTAAAGGAGACGAACACACAGATTTAACGAGGTTCGGCAACGTGCCTACGTCCTCGGGAGTCACACCACACAATCTCTTTTATTAATTAAAGAAGAAAATACAAGCTCTCAAACAAGGGATTAATCTCTCTGAGATTCTCTCTCTCTTATGGGGTATATATAGAATCCTGGGTGAAACAGATTCCTAAACAGAACAGGAATTCTGTTTGACTGCGTCGCGGTCGACCGCGGCGGTCGACCACGATCAAAACCCAAGACCAGAAAATCCTACAGGGTTGGTGCGGTCGATCGCCGCGGTCGACCGCCATCAGCTTCAGCTTCTTCCCAGCTTGCGTGCACGTTCGCGATCGACCGCCGCGGTCGACCGTGGATCTGTCTGTTTGTTTTTCTGTCTTTTTTATTCCAGCCTTCGTCCGGACTTTGGGTCTACACCTTAGACTAACAATCTCCCACTTGGAGATCAAAGTGCCTGCAATGAGTTCACCCGAACTCTTTCCTTCTTCGCATGTATCTTTTCCCCTGAAAAATTCTTTCTTCAATCAACAATATCCCGACGATCTCGCCGATCCTGGTAGTGTGGCTCCGCCTTCGTCTTCTACTCGTGAAGGCCAACTGAAGTTGCGCACAACTCCAGTTTCTCAATGGTGACTGCCTTCGTCAACATGTCCGCCGGATTTTGACTTCCAAAAATCTTCATTAAGTGTAACTTTTTGTCTTCAACTAGCGAGCGTATAAAATGGTATTTGACGTCGATGTGCTTCGTTCTGGCATGATATACTGGATTCTTGGCAAGATGTATAGCACTCTGGCTATCACAATAAAGAACTCCTTTCCCTTGCTTCAGATCCAATTCTTCCAAGCACCCGTTCAACCAGATCATCTCCTTGCTTGCTTCAGTCACCGCGACATACTCAGCCTCAGTTGTAGATAAAGTCACAATCTTCTGCAGACGTGAGACCCAGCTCACCGTTGTCGACGATAAGGTATAAATATACCCCGTGGTGCTTCGCCTCGTATCATGATCATCGGCGAAATCCGCATCCACGTATCCCTGCAGCACCAACTCTTTCCTCCTGAAACATAGTGGCTTTTTCGTTGTCCCCCTCAAGTACCGCATTATCCACTTCACGGCCTCCCAATGCTGCTTCCCTGGATTGCTTGCAAATCTGCTCACAACTCCCACTGCATGGGCGATGTCCGGTCTCGTGCAAACCATCGCGTACATGAGACTCCCAATGGCCGAAGAATATGGCACCCTGCTCATATGCTCTCTATCTGCATTTGTCTTAGGCGATTGCTCCTCAGATAGCTTGAATTGACTTCCAAGGGGTATGCTAACAACTTTAGCATTCTGCATGTTAAACCTCTGAAGTACCTTCTCAATGTATTCAACTTGGCTTAATCTCAATTCCCTTCAGTTTCATCCCTACTGATTCGCATCCCTAGAATCTGCTTCGCTGCACCCAGATCCTTCATTGCAAATTCCTTTGCTAGCTGCCTCTTCAAACTGTTTATCTCTTCTAAACACGGTCCTGCTACCAACATGTCATCAACATATAATAACAAAATAATGAAGCTGGACTCGAACTTTTTGAAATAACAGCAATGATCCGAATTGCATCTTCTGTAGCCATTGTTTTGCATGAAGTTGTCGAACTTCTTGTACTACTGTCTCGGAGCCTGTTTCAAACCATACAAGCTCTTCTTGAGCTTACACATCATCTCTTCCTTTCCTTCTTCAATGAAACCAACATGCTGCTTCATGTAGATTTCTTCATCCAAGTCACCATGAAGAAAGGCAATCTTCACATCTAACTGCTCAAGGAAGAGGTCTTCTGCAGCTACCAAACTCAACACCACTCTGATGGTTGTGAGTTTCACAACAGGGAAAAATATCTCTGTGTAGTCCACTCCTTCCCGCTGTTGAAACCCCTTCACGACTAATCTGGCCTCGAATCTCTTGCTTCCATCACTCTCCTGCTTGACTCGGTAGACCCATTTATTGTGCAAGGCTTTCTTCTGTGCAGGTAGCTGGGCTAACTCCTATGTCTCATTAGTGAGTAGACAATCCATCTCCTCCTGCATCGCATGCTCCCACTGATGAGATTCACTCACTTGCACTGCCTCTTCATAACACTCCGGCTCTCCGCTATCTGTTAAGAGTAGATAATCAAGTGACGAGAGGTATTTGGGATTTGGTTTGGGTACCCTGGATGACCTCCTAAGCTCCACGCCCTGGGTAGTAGCTTCTGCACCTGTAGTCTCCTCTGTTCTACGATCAGAACTGACATCGTCGCTCCCATCTGGAAGTTCCTCCAAATCCATGTACTCGGATCCACCTGTGTCCGTAGTGCTGCTCCCACTGCTTTGGCTATCCTTGACATTGTCCCTGTCCTTGTACATCACCTCCTCATTGAATATCACATCCCGGCTCCTGATGATCTTCCTGTATTGTCCCTGTCCTTGTACATCACCTCCTCATTGAATATCACATCCCGGCTCCTGATGATCTTCCTGTTTTTTTCATCCCAAAGGCGATACCCGAACTCATCAATGCCGTATCCAATGAATGCGATACCCGAACTCATCAATGCCGTATCCAATGAATGTGCACTTCTGTGACTTAGCTTCTAGCTTGTTTCTGACATGGTCACTGATATGAACATAAGCCACGCAACCAAATACCCGCAAGTGTGAGAGATTTATCTTCTTTCCACTCCAAACCTCCTCTGGAATCCCAAAATCTAATAGAACTGATGGCCCGTGATTAATCAGGTAGGCTGTCGTATGCACAACATCCGCCCAAAATGTCTTAGGCAGACCTGCATGTAATCGCATGCTCCGCGCACGCTCTGTCAAGGTCCTGTTCATTCTCTCTGCAATACCGTTCTGCTGCGGTGTCCCTGGAGTAGTCCTCTCTAAGCGAATCTCATTCGTAGCACAGAACCTCTTGAACTCCTCCAGCTCGTATTCTCCACCATTATCTGATCTCAAGCACTTCACCTTCAGATCTGTACCGTTCTCGACCATGGCCTTCCACTTCTTGAAGATTTCGAACACCTCTGACTTGTGCTTCATGAAGTAAACCCACACCTTCCTCGAGTGATCGTCGATAAAGGTGACGTAGTATCTCGAACCACCAAAAGAAGACATACTGGCTGGGCCCTATACATTTGTATGAATCAACTCTAGCTTCTGAGCCTTAGGTGGCCTTCCACCCTTCTGGAAACTAACCCTCTTCTGCTTCCCAAAGATGCAGTCTTCACAAACCCCGACTTCCACGGTGTCGATCCCGGTTAACTTTCCTTGTGAATGCAGAATTTTCATCCCCTTCTCGCTCATGTGTCCCAGCCTGTTGTGCCACAGATCTGTACTCTCCTTGCTAGCTGCAATTGCGAGGGTGTCATTCGCATGTGAAGTGAGATAGAGAGTTCCTGTTTTATTGCCTCGGGCAACAACCATCGTACCGTTGGAGATTCTTCACGAGTCCCCGGTGAATGTCGAAACGTAGCTTTCTGCTCGAAGCTGTCCCACCGAAACAAGATTCCTCTTCAGCTTCGGCACGTGTCTCACGTTCTTCAAATTCTACTTAGAGCCCTTTATCTGTATCTGAACGTCGCCCTTTCCAACAATATTGTAAGGTTCATTGTCCCCCAAGTATACTTTACCAAAATCCCCTGCTACATAGTTCTGAAGTAGTTTCCTATTAGCAGTGGCGTGGAAAGAAGCTCCTGAGTCGATGACCCAAGAATCAGAATCGCTATCCATAGCAAGGATCAAGGCATCCTGCACGATATGAGCCTCCTGCTCACCCGCATCCTTCTTTGGTGCTTTACAGACCGAAGACATATGGCCCTCCTGGCCGCAGTTCCAACACTTCCCTTTGATAGACCTAACCTTCAAGTTCGGCCTCTTCTTCACTGATTTCGACCGATTCTTGTTCTGGTTCCCTTTCTTCTGGCTTCTGCCTCTCTGCTCGAAACTTAGGGCTGAACCTGAACCTTCTGATTCGGACGATTTCCTTCTAACCTCCTCGGATAGAATCATGCTAACAACCTCATTCAGCTTTAACTTCTCTTTCCCCGCCGAATTGCTGATTACCGTCACACAACCTGCCCAACTATCCGACAACTGCGATAGTAGTAGAAGGGCCTGCACTTCGTCATCGAACGTGATGTCCACGGAGATAAGTTGATCAACAATCGTGTTGAACTCGCTGAGGTGCATCGTGAAGGACCGTCCTTCTGCCATCTTGAGGTTGAAAAGAGTTTTGACTAGATGCACCTTGTTTGCTGCCGACGGTTGCTCGTACATCTTCGCGAGCGCTTCCATAAGCCCCACCGTCGTCTTCTCCTTCAGAATATTGTGGGCTACTGATTTGACGAGCGACAACCGGATTTGCCCTAGAGCCTTCTTATCCAGTACCTCCCAATCACCATCTGACTCCTCTTTCTTCTTTCCCTTTTTCTTGTCCATCAACGGGCGATACAAGTCCTTCTGGTACAGATAGTCCTCCATCTGCGACTTCCAGTAGGCGAAGTCTGAACCGTCAAACTTCTCGATCTTTGATTTGCTTTCCTCTGCCATGGCTTTCACACAAATTGCTGAACGAAGCTCTGATACCAGTTGTTGGGGATTCGAAACAATCAATCGAACCCTTGCCCTTCCGGACCTTGTGTTGAAAGTAAGAAAGTAGGAAAGAATACCACAAATAAAGATCTAACCTTGCAAAAAACAGTAAAGGAGACGAACACACAGATTTAACGAGGTTCGGCAACGTGCCTACGTCCTCGGGAGCCACACCACACAATCTCTTTTATTAATTGAAGAAGAAAATACAAGCTCTCAAACAAGGGATTAATCTCTCTGATATTCTCTCTCTTTGCAGTCAAAAAGCTCCTTTTTGATGTATACAAACCCTAAAATCGTTTGGGGTATATATAGAATCCTGGGTGAAACAGAATCCTAAACAGAACATGATTCTGTTTGACTGCGTCGCGGTCGACCGCGGCGGTCGACCGCGCAAGTTCCAGAGAGTTTGGCGGTCGACCGCGGCGGTCGATCGCAATCAAAACCCGAGACCCGCCGCGGTCGACCGCCATCAGCTTCAGCTTCTTCCCAGCTTGCGTGCACGTTCGCGGTCGACCGCCGCGGTCGACCGTGGATCTGTCTGTTTGTTTTTTTGTCTTTTTGATTCCAACCTTCGTCCGGACTTTGGGTCTACACCTTAGACTAACACCTAATTCAAAGCGATTCATCTAATGACCACAATGCGTAAAGAATCTGATAATGGTAAGTGTTGAATCTTGTCAGTGGTTTCCCAAACATTTATTTATTTTGGAGCGCAGCATAGATTATAGATTTTTATTGATATCATCACATCTCTTTTCAGATCTATCTACATGGTGGTCATATTACGTCTTGGAAAAACAACCATAGGGATGAGTTACTCTTTGTCAGCAATAAGGTATAATAATTGCTTTCTTTACTTAGATGAAGATGACCTGTTTATGGTTTAAATCATTTGTTTGGACTGGAAAGTGGCAGATTATATGTTTATCGTCTGTTTGCCTATTTCATATCCAAGGACGGGTCAAAAGGGGAATACCTTTCCATTTAAAATTGACATTTTGAATTATTGCATGATATTTACCAGATGGAGATATAGCTGTGGTGCAAGCAAATATGGAAGGGAAACTATATGCTCTCAGAAAAAAAAAGAATGAAAAGAAAGAAAGAAAGAAGGGAAATCTGATAGTGAATATCCTTCTTTCGTTATTTCATAATTTCCAAGTCTTTTGTCTTTTTTTTAAAGAAAGAAATTCTTATAAGGTCTAATGTCCAAAGTTTTTCAGATATTTCACGGCTTAGAGAATCTTACTTTTAATTCTCCTGTATGATGTTATTTGATCTGTTGTTTGGTTGAACGGTCTTTTTTTCTTTGCTTGTCACTTACATCTTATATCTTCCCTATTAATTTTCTTGTTGTATTCATTTATCAGGTGCTACTGTACATAATTTCTTAATTTGTTGGGAAACCTAGACACGAATGCTAGGTTAGACTGGATCTCTTCAATTCAACTTGGGCGAGGTTTACTTATCACATTGAATTTACAGAAATTCATCTTTCATCATGTCCAACATGATATCTTCTTCCTGCTGTGGACTGAAGTAATGCCAACAGTACTGTTTCTCTCTAATCATAGTTTTCTTTTTATGATATCATATATCACTTTTTGATTTCCTCACACTAATTTCTCATTAAATAGTAAATGCCCTTTATTTTTGTTACTCAGCATTCTTTTGTTGCCTTTCTAGGCTATTTTCAAGCCTCCGAAAGCAATACGTGGGGGCATCTCAATATGCTTTCCTCGAGTATGATCTTTCAATAACTAGTGTTTTTCCCCTCCTCCGGATATGCTTTGTTTTCTTCACAAATGACCTCATTCCACCAAACTAATGTGCACATGCAGTTTGGGACACATGGATTTCTTGAACAACATGGTTTTGCAACGAACCGTACATGGAGCATTGACACAGATCCTCCATCTCTTCCATCTGACAGCTCCAATACAACTTTTGTTGATCTGATTCTTAAGCCATCTGAAGGAGATCTCAAATTTTGGCCTCACAGGTTTTGCTCATTGGTTGATATTTGACATATATAATTATACTGCTAATGTTTCGAATGTTGTCCCAAGAACAATCTTAGATATCTGAATCTAAATAATCTTCAATCACGGTAACTCGTAATTTAGAACCATTAAATTCAATTGATATTGGAGAAAAGAGGTTGTACACAAATGTCCTGGATGTAATAACATTTTTAAAGAGCTGATACTTGAACTGTAAATGTCCACCTCAATAGATCAAAGTTTAAGAATATCCCTTATTAGATCTAACACTAAAGTTTATTGTTTTAGTCCGTGTGAGGGATAAATATTTCCAAGAATATCCCTTATTAGATCTAACACTAAAGTTTATTGTTTTAGTCCGTGTGAGGGATAAATATTTCCAATAGTTCTTTCTGACTGTTGCTTTGAGAAGAGGTTACCAAATGAACATCATGGCACACCTATTTATGATGACATTTACTTTTTATTAAGACTAGTGAAACAGCTACCATCAAATTGATCAGTTTTTCACCATACGAGTGAGTTAGATTGAGGTAGTTCCTATAGAAGCTATTTTATTCCTATAGAAGCAGAGATAGCTGAAGCTGATGCTGATAATAAAGAACGAATGTTGAAGAAGAAAATACTAGTTGGAGATGGATGGGTTAGGGTGTCTGTAATTTTCTTTTTGCGTAATTTTCAAATGCCTCTAGTCTCTGTCTGCATGATCTTTGCTATGATTTTGCTTGAAAATCTTGCTTCTGTTTTGTAACGCCCCGCCCCGGAATCCCGGAGTCGGTACGTTATTAGATCTAATGGACTGGCCTCACAAACCACCACATGTCTTTTCAGCACGTTTTTGTCCTCACTCACGCGCTCCCTAGAAAACTTTCCAGGGGTCACCCATCCTAGAATTTCTCCAGGCCAAGCACGCTTAACTTTGGAGTTTCTTAGAGTTGGGATCCCGAAAAGAAGATGCATCTTGGTGGTATGAGTATTCCAATTAAATCTATCAATACTAATCACATCACCCTCTCAAGGGTTGGGGTATTACAAACTCCCCCACTTAAACTCGCAACGTCCTCGTTGCGTCAAATCATATCATCCAAGACCGTACCATCCGTGTGAGATTCTAGAGGTGGCTCCTACGGCCTCAAGAGGTGGCTCACGTCCTCTCGACATAGCACTTTGCGCCGCATAGCACTTAGTTCTCACAATTCCGGTTGGCTTTGCTCTGATACCATTTGTAACGCCCTGCCCCGGAATCCCGGAGTCGGTACGTTATTAGATCTGATGGACTGGCCTCACAAATCACCACATGTCTTTTCAGCATGTTTTGTCCTCACTCACGTGCTCCCTGGAAAACTTCTCAGGGGGTCACCCATCCTAGAATTTCTCCAGGCCAAGCACGCTTAACTTTAGAGCTTCTTAGAGTTGGGATCCCGAAAAGAAGATGCATCTTGGTGGTATGAGTATTCCAATCAAATCTATCAATACTAATCACATCACCCTCTCAAGGGTTGGGGTATTACATGTTTTAATCTGTATAGAAGACTATTTAATCAAAGAACTGATATCTCTAACATCTCTAACAGGAAATAATCAAAGAACTGATGGAAATGCTACCATACATGAAAGAGCTTATGGATATGTATTGTGGCCCTAATAGAGTGACTGCAAAGTAACAAATGTGGGAGTTAGACAGAGTCGCAAAAACTCTACCAGAGAATAAACATTCATTTGTGAAGAGGTTCACTGATCGTGTCGTTCTTTCACTTCAAGTTTTTTTTCCAACTTAGTTTAGTTTCCTGTAAATCTTATAATGTGTCATTCTCTGAAATGGAAAACATTGAATATGGCAAACTGGAATATTTAAACAGGCCTTTGAGTGTTGACTTGGAATTGAAAATGAATGTAATTATTTTGCAATGGGAGCAAATTCTTTGTTTATCATAATATGCAACTTGTTTAGAGTATAATTTGATGTTTGGTTTCTTTGTTGATGTGAATGGGAGTAAATTTTTTGTGGATGTTCAGGTTTAGTGTAGGCTTGTAGTTGGCAGAAAAGATATTACTTTTGGCGATGCAAATTAGTGTCGATAAAATTATACTATTTACCGTTGCCAAAAATTATACTTTTGCCGATGCTATTTTGCGTCGGCAAAAGTATAGCTTTTAGCGACACTGCACTTTGCTTCGCTAAAAGCTGCACCTTTACCGATGCTATCTTGCGTCGGTAAAAGTATAGCTTTTAGCGACGCTATCTTGCGTCGCCAAAAGTATAGCTTTTAGCGACGCTTCACTCTGGCTATTTTGCGTCGGCAAAAGTATAGCTTTTAGCGACACTGCACTTTGCTTCGCTAAAAGCTATATTTTTGCCGACGCATAGATTTTGCCAACGCTGCATGCGTCGCCAAAAGTACACTTTTACCGACACAAAATATTATGCGTTGTTAAAAGATATACTTTTCCCGACGCATGACGCGTCGCCAAAAGTGTACTTTTGGCGATGCAGTGTATTTGCGTCACCAAATACTTTCCTTGACGCACTTTTGGCGACGCATTAGCGACGCTGCATTTTGCGTCAGGAAAGATTTTTCCCGACGTTTTTTAGACTTTTGCCGACGTTTTTGTTTCGTCGGCAATGTTGTATTTTGTTGTAGTGTCTGAGGATGGCGGAATCTACATTAATGACCGACCATATTATTATCCTAAACACACTGTTCTCCCAACTCACAACGTAAGGGCATGCAATTGGTGTGAATGAACGTGTAGAACTTCTACTTAAGAGTCTACCTGACTCGTATGATCAGCTCATCATCAACCTAACAAACAACGTTCTCACAGACAATCTAGTCTTCAACGACGTTGTAGCCACTGTTTTGGAGGAAGAAAATCGGCGTAAGAACAAGGAAGACAGGCAGGCAAGTTCGCAAAGCGGAGGCCTTATCAGTGACGAGAGGAAGATCAACGCAACGTGACTCTAGTGGGAATCATACCCATGATAGATCAAAATTACGAAGTAAGAAGAATATCAAATACTACAACTGCGACAAAAGAGGACACGTGAAATTAGAGTGTTGACACAATAAGAAGAGTGATGATAAAAAGTCTTCAGAGCCATCAACATCTCAAAGATGCGTTGTCAGCATGTCAGATGATAGTGAAATTCTATACAGTGGAGCAACCACTATTGATGAAGGCAAAAAGAGGTTTGTTGATGCCTAGTTTTTAGATTCAGCAGCCTCTTGGCACATGACCTCCCGGAGAGAATGGTTTCATAAATATGAACCTATCTCAGGAGGATCTGTATTCATGGGCAATGATCATACCTTGGAGATTTCTGATATTGACACTATAAAAATTAAAATGTTTGATGGTACAATACGCACATGTGAAGGGATTAAAGAAGAATTATTGTATTTAGGACAATTGAATGAGCTCAGATGCAAGACCCATATAGAAAATAGGATTATGAAGATTGTTAGAGGGGCACTTGTTGTGATAAAAAGAAAAAAGATAGCTGTAAATTTAAACATGCTCAAGGAACAGACCCTATAGGAAGCTGATTCATGTGTGACATCAACTAGCCATGAAGAATAACAAACCATGGTGTGACATCGCAAACTAGGCCACATGTCAGAACGAGGTTTGAAGATTCTCTCCGATCAGAAGTTACTTCCTGGACTTAATTTGGTAGCTCTTCCATTCTGTGAGCATTGTGTTACAAGTAAGCAGCATCGGCTGAAGTTCAACACATCAAGTTATAGAAGCAAGGCTATTCTAAAACAAGTTCATTCTGATGTATGGCAAGCACCCGTTACATCTATGGGAGGGGCAAAATATTTTATGTTATTTATTGATGATTAATCCAAGAGATGTTGGGTGTATTCTATCAAGAAGAAGGCGAATGTGTTCTCAATCTTTAAAGCCTACAAAGCGCGAGTCGAGCTTGAATCTGAAAAGACGATCAAGTGCTTGAGGTCAGATAATGGAGGAGAACAGACGGTGAATTTCTTGTATTCAGTAAGCAAGAAGGTATCAAAAGACAATTCAATACTACTTATACTCCTCAACAAAATGGAGTAGCGGAGCGGATGAACAGAACTCTGTTGGAAAGAACAAGAGCTATGTTGGCAACTGTAAATCTAGATAAAATTTTTTGGGCGGAAGCAGTAAAAACCGCCTGTTATGTGATGAATCGATCTCTATCAACCGCAATACAGTTAAAGACACCGATGGAGATGTGGACTAGCAAGCCAGCTGATTATTCTAACCTCCATATATTTGGAAGTCTAGTGTACGTAATGTACAATGCCCAAGAAATTACATAGCTGGATTCAAAATCCAAAAAATACATATTCTTAGGGTATGTTGACTCAGTAAAGGGGTCCCACTGCCCGCAATGTTATCATTAGCAGAGATGTTATCTTTGTAGAGAATCAACTAGAAAGTGAAGAAAAAAATAGTTTAAGGAAGGACTCAGAGACTAGCTGTTCAGGTAGAAAATAATCTAAATTTTTCTGAAGCAACACTGGAGCATGATGTATAAGAACCAGTCGAGTCCGAGGCTCTAGAAGTTCGAAGGTCAACTCGTGAGAGAAGACCACCGACTTGGCACTCAGAGTATATTACAGAGAGTAATGTTGCATACTGTCTTCTAAAAGAGGATAGAGAGCCATCAACTTTTCATGAAGCTATAAATAGCACAAATACATCTTTGTGGATGACAGCAATGCAGGAAAAAATTGAAGTTCTCCTTAAGAATAAGACTTGGGTACTTGTGCCATCACCATAAGGAAGAAAGACCATTGGAAATAAATGAGTATATAAGATCAAGCGAAATGACGATGATCAAGTGGAGCGATATCGTACTAGATTGGTGGTAAAACGATATGCTAAAAAAGAAGGTATTGATTTTAATAAAATATTTTCTCCTGTAGTTCGACTTACAACAGTACAAATAGTCCTGACTATGAGCGCTATATTTGACTTACATCTAGAGCAGCTAGATGTGAAAACAACATTTTTTCATGGAGATCTAGAATAAAAAATTTATATGCTCAAACTAGAAGGTTTTGAAGAAAAAGAAAAAGAGACCTTGGTTTGCAGATTGAAAAAATTTCTGTACGGTCTAAAGCAGGCATCGAGATGTTGGTACAAGAGATTTGATTCATTCATCATGAGCCTTGGATACAACAAACTTAATTCAGACCCTTATGCATATTTCAAGAGGTTTGGTGAAAATAACTTTGTTATATCATTGTTGTATGTTGACGACATGTTCGTTGCAGGCCATAACAAAGATCATATCAAAGAATTAAAGGCACAATTGGCTAGAGAATTTGAAATGAAGGATTTAGGATCTGCAAACAAGATTCTAGGAATGCAAATTTACCGAGATAGAATTAATAGCAAGATTTAGTTTTTTCAGAAGAATTATTTGAAGAAAATCTTGCAACGCTTTAACATGCAATATTGTAAGTTAATTTCTAATCCACTTCCTGTTAATTACAAGTTATCCTCTAGTATGAGTCCTAGCAGTGAAGAAGAGATGATGGAAATGTCTCGAGTACCGTATGCATCAGTAGTGGGAAGCTTAATGTTCGCTATGATTTGTACAAGACCAGACATTGCACAAGCGGTGAGAATGGTTAGTTAGTCGATACATGACAAATCTTGGTAAAGAGCATTGGAATGCTGTAAAGAGGGTCCTAAGAGACATTAAGGGAACCTCAAGTGTTGCATTATATTATGGGGGATCAGATTTTATTGTCAATAGATATGTTGATTATGATTATGCAGGTGATTATGATAATTGCTAATCCACCACAGACTATGTGTTTGCACTTGCTGGTGGAGCTGTAAGCTGGATTTCAAAACTGTAGTCAGTTGTGACTAGTTCAACAACAGAAACAGAATATGTAGCAGCTACACAAGCTAGTAAAGAAGCGATATGGTTGAATATGGTGCTGGAGGAACTCAGGCATGAACAAAAGAAGATTTTTCTATTTTGTGACAATCAGAGTGCTATGCATTTAGCAAAAAGTCCAGCCTTTCATTAAAAAACAAAACACATTCAAGTTAAGTACCACTTCATTCATGAGAAAGTGGAAGAAGGAACCGTGGATATGCAGAAAATTCACACCAAAGACAACCTAGCAGATTTTTTTTGACAAAAACAGTCAATACTGATAAATTTATTTGGTATCGATCCTCTTTGGTCTGTCAAAGACGTGAGCAAGATGAAGATGGCAATATAGAAATAATGATGTGAAAATATGATTGATACTCAATAAAATCTTCAAGTGGGAGATTATCAGCCAAAAATCTTAAAAAATAAAAAAGTGAGTGGGCCCCGCTAAATATTTCACACCGAGAAAAGTGCATAGTAAAATAGTATTATAAAATTAGTGCATAGTGATGTCAGCTACCTATAAATAGGCGCAAAACTCTTTAAGAAAAATCATCCCAGAAACAATTCCTCGTATAGAAGAGTGAGAGAAAAAATAGAGAGAGTTTCTCTTTGTAAAAGAGAAATTGTAACTCCTAAGTTTTTCCTCATAGTGGATTCTTCTATCATTGCCTGTGGTTTTACCTCAAATTTATTTAAAGGGTTTTCTACGTAAAGATGTGTGTTTCTTTATTACTTCGACTTTACTATTCGCCGATACCCTGTTCTATTGGGCCTTGGGTTTGTCCTAACATATTTGATGGGCCGTTTGATAATAGTTTCAACAGTTCTAACTTAAGAAAATTTGGACACTGTGCTCTTCTTGTTTTCTTTGAAGTAATACTACTTTATCTGCGGGGAACTAAAAGCACATTCATTTTATTTGCATTGAATAGAATAAATAAAGAATAGAAACTATGAACGTGTGTGCCCGAGACACGCGGGGGCCACACCCACGAGCGAGACACGTCCTGTGTCTCGCGGAGTCTTGATAGAGAGAGTT